CCTACTTAAGGTTTGCACAACATTAAATAGTAATGAACAGTATTGTCTAACCCAATACTAGTTAGAAATCCACTGAACTGTGCAAAGCGCCTGCAGGTCCTCGACTTTGGGAGGGGGTTGCACAAAGCGCCTCCGGGTATTTTTAGTTTTAGCGTATGATTCAACACTCCCGAGGCTACATGGGGTTCACATCAGCTTTCCCAAGACTCTTGTAAACAGGCGTCATTTAAAAAAATCGTCGGCAACATTCTCGTGTGTGCGAATCTCAATACTGAGTGAGCAACCAACGTTGGCGCACGTAGCATTAGCTCACAGCACGGCTGTTAAGCTTGTGGCCACAGCATCGCCTAATAATGTCAAATATATAAATAACTGGTATTATTTAGCCATGATAGTAATACAGAAAAGCCTGAGTGTGATAATGACTGTGTACAATGTTCAAATATCAGTGAATCAATGCTGTTCACGATGTTCACAGCGCTAGCCACAGCACCACAGCATTATTTCGTCCATCTAGGAATCTTCAAACGACTTCATATGTTACTTTACAAAATAAACTTGCGGTCATTTATTCATTTACAAGATTTAGTGACCAGGATTGTGATAATAGCAGGATTGTGGTGATAAGTAGCGCTGTGCCTAGTATTGTGGGAGGAGGGAGGGAGGGAGGGAATCCAGATAGCATCACTGTGTGTAGCAGCCACTCTTGTTTTGCTCACCATACAAGCTCAGTGGTTTGCTATGGTGAACACACATGTACATGGGTATATACAATGTGTGTATATACTCTTGTACATATGTGCGTAGCATTGTGGGAGGAGGAATTTTGGTGAGAGAAGGTCGAGGTAGCATCACTGTGTGTGGCAGCCACTCTTGTTTTGCACACCATACTTGCCTAATGGTTCGCTATGGTGAACACATATGTACGTGGGTATATACAATGTGTGTATATATACCCTTGTACATATGTGCGTAGTATTGTGGGAGGAGGAATTCATGCTGGACATCTGCCTACAATCCTGCCTCCCAGACTCCATGCCATTCTGTCAACCTGCCTGCCATTTTGCAAACCTATCAGCCTGATTGTCATTCTACTTCACCTCCTGCTTTCTGGCCATTCTGCAAGCCTGTCTTCCTTCCTGATGGCCTGCCTTCCAGATCGCTTGACTCTATGTCTGCCTTTCTGTCTCCCTGCCTACCATCTTGCCTTCATGTCAGACTGACTGCCTGCTTGCCTATTTTCTTGAATGTCGGGCTAGTTTTCTGACTAACTTGCGTGGGGGCGACTGCTGGTGTGGGTGGAGTTGTACAATTTATTTAGATACTTCGTAATACAGGTGTTCACTTCTCTGTTTATCCATAGTTTACTGGGGCTTGCACCATACTCTCCAATTCTTTGTGCGCTAGGTTCAGTTTGTGCAGTGGGTGAGAGGTCTAAGTGTGTATGAGTTCATCACACTTGTCTTGTATCAGTAGCGTCACTCACTGAGGCCATCCACACACACACACACCCATGATTGTTGGTGTCGTGTAGACGTCAGTAGTGAAGGTGGCGTCTCTGGTCTTGACGTATACGTCGAGGAGAGGGAATGCACAGTCGATACGAAGTTCATGTGTGAATTGGAGTACTGAGGACTCTGTAAAAATTGAAAGACTCATGGATCACAACCGCATGGAATGTAAAGTGGGACAAATGGATAAATTTTACTTACTCATGTGTATCATGTAAATGGAAATTTGAAACCAAAATGCTCCGTAATCCCAAATGTCAAAGTTAATGAGTTTTTTCAGGGTGGTTAATCGAATACAGTAATACATAGTTTGAAAGTGAAGAGGCTACAGGCATTATAGTCTTGAAGACTATACATTCTCATATATAATGTATACGAGAATTAGAGACCTACAAGTGAGTTTATTGTTTAACGTTAATTATCATTTCAACAGGGAATTTCCATCAGCACACTGGGATTTGAATTTTAGATTAATTAAGGTCTTCCTTAATTGCACAATAAAGTTATGTAGACATTTAAGAAGTGTGAACAGATCACTACCAGTGTTTGGTTGATGTTATACTATATAGCCAGCATTTGAGTAAGAATATATAATTATGTTGACCAAACCACACACTAGAAATTGAAGGGACGACAACGTTTCGGTCCGGCCTGGACCATTATCAGGTACATTCACTTCCTTTCCTACCATCCTCCTTCTCTTCAGAAAAATATTCTTGTTTCTCTTCCTCCGCGCTCTACGCATCAGCGACCCTCAGGTTCTTGATTCTGAAATTTCCTGTATCTACAAATCTTTCTCTCGCTTTGGTTACCCGTTATATTTTATGAACTGTGTCTATTCTCAAGCTAAACGAAATTTTTTTCATCCTAAACCTACTTCCAACACAATTAGCACTGCTCTGCCTTCCCTTCATTTCTGAACTCAAAACTCCTACTAATACCTTTCGTCCTCTTGACATAAAGCTCGCCTTTCGACAAACTAACACTCTTCGTAGCAATCTAGTTCACATTTCTCCTTCTGCTTCTAATGCTGTTGGTGTCTACTCTATTAGCTCTCTTCTGTCATGTTAGAGATCCTAATCATCCTATTCATTGGTCTTCCTCTAAAATAATCTTTCCTACCTCTACACAGACGCCGTTTTGTCGAATCGGCTCTGATACACAACCTAGTCCTGGAATTGTTGCTGTTGACTCTTCCCTTTCAGTGTGTACTCAAATGGCTTACACTTTCTAACAAACGTGACCTAACATAATCCTACCCTTCCTTTTATCTTTGTTTTCTTTCTCTTACGATCCCTTTATTATTCCTATTATTACACCCTTTATTACACTTTACCTTCCGTACCTTTTGCCTTGCTCTTATCTTCCTCTAAAATTTCCATCTCCTCATTTCTCTCTCTTGCCTACATAATGCCCTTGCCTCCCGCGTCTCATCACAATCGACTTGATAATGGTCCAGGACGGACCGAAACGTCGTCGTCTCTTAAATTTCTAGTGAGTTGTTTGATCAACATTTTTCAGCCACGTTATTATGACTCATCATCTGAATATATAATTATACATGAATAAATGGATCCAGATAATATGTGCATGGAGATAGAGTGTTATACTCACCTGACAATCACTATAACGTCAGATTACAGGCCGAAGGCACAACTTGAGGATTCCTGAGGTCCCTTTCTGCCTCGTTAACTCAAACTTCAAGACATAGTCAGTAATGATTATAAATTGTCAGGTGAAGAGCATTATAGTTGCATAAGTATGTCAAGTTAATATTAGAGAGAGGTAAAGTGTTCAGTCAATCCCTCTTATACCAACCCAATAACAGGGATTTAAGTATCCATATGATGCAGACGAAGGGCTGCTCGCTGCTCCAGCCCATTCTCCCATACGTTTCTAACGTTCTAAACTGATGTACTAAATTACCTGAAATTACCCTACACGAGGACCCACTAACAGAAAACAGAGTACGAACATTTTGCGAGCTGCTACGATTTATAGTGCTTCAGTTTTTGGCCTAAGTAACTCTATGTCAAAATCCGATATAATTTTGGAGCAGCAAGCTCCCATTCCTTAACATTTTCTATATTTACACATTTATCAGTGGTAAATGGTAAATAAATATTAATAATATTACTATTAATAACTTATTAATAATTATCTTGATAACAATTCTTTATAGTTTGATGATAAATTTAATGTGCTCATAATTGTGATTATTGTGCAGCATTGAATTGTGTCAAATGTGGAAAGATCAGACTGTTTTAAATTTCAAATAATACAAATCGTGTTTGTCGCGATTCAATTGTTGACTCTATTTTATTAACTAGGCTATCGTTCTGGTGTTAAAATTTCCAAATTCAAGATATTGTATTGTGTTGATATTATTTAATGGTAAAGCTTACTCTACCTGTTATTTCTCCCTACCATGTGGAAAAATCTTTCCCTCATTAGAAACTTATAGAAAGAGTTTACAAGATTTTTGTCACTTATGCAGTTTCTCAAATTTTTATTGACAATAAAATTTTTATTACTTTATATAAAACAGTGGAAATATTTTTATCTTAAATTGTAACCCACTTATTGAATATTTGACCCTAAAACAATTATTTAACTTAAAGGTAAAAAGGGTAATTAATTGTTGGAGTAGTTGCCAGTAGTACATGTTCTATATTTACTACTTCTATAGACAAACTGACTTAACTCTGGGAGGCAGTAAAGTTGCTAGCTTTCTCACTCCGTGTAGCCAAGTATACTTTAACAGACACGTGTAGATAAAATAACAGGTAACATAGCATGTATTATATATACCTAATAACAATGAAACATCTCCAGGTATGTAGTATATTGCCACCCACGAAAAACCACGTTACAAAGTATAATATTTCTGAAATCAGTGGTATACATCCGTCCCTTTAAACCACAGCTGAAAATGTAGCAGAATTGCACCTTCAGCTGGTGTATGAAATTTCATGACAACTCTCTGTCGACCATTAAATTAAAGCTATATGGACATAGGGCACCTCTGTTTAATTACTTTATAACTCTTAAGGTATGGTAACTATGCTTACAAACTGCTTATGATCTATTACATTAATCTCTGTGAATCACAAGAAAAACTACAACCTAATGCATGAAACATATCAAGACATTAGTCTAGTTTCTTGACACGTTATTACATAGACATATAACAGGATTTGTATGTTATTCCAAATTAGGTACTAACATTTCAAAATGCTGCCATCACAAATAAGAATTAACTAAAACATTCAATTTCCCATGTAAACTTAACACATTACATGCCTTCTGGTCAATTTGCATATGCTGACTGTTTACTTAATCATAAACTTTCATTTGCATATTTAACATGCCACATGTGCTTCTGTAAGTAATCTGTTCTCATCTGGTGTGCAATTTCACCTACGTTAATGAACCTTTGTTATTTTAAATTATGAAGAACAGCCTTGTTCATAACATGATAACACATACCTTGACGAGTTGGATAAGTTGAGGACAGAGTAGATGGAAACAGGTAGGCAGTTGTCCGGTCAGCAGGTGATGGATCAGTAGATGATGGGTCAGCAGGCGATGAGTCAGCAGATGATGGATCAGCAGGCGATGAGTCACCAGATGATGGATCAGCAGGTACCATGTCAGCAGGCAGAGTGCCAGCAGATAACGTTTCAACCGGCAGGATATCAGCAAGCACCGTGCCAACAGGCAGAGTGTTAGTAGGAATCATGTCAACTAACTCCATGTCAACAGTCACCATGTCAGCAGGTACTGTGCCATCAGGCACCATATTAACAAGCACGGTGTCAGCAGGAGCCTGGAGAGGCAGGGTATCAGCAGGAGCCTGGAGAGGCAGAGTATCAGCAGGGGTCGGGAGAGCCAGGGTATCAGCAGGTGCCGGGAGAGGCAGGGTGTCAGCAGGGGTCGGGAGAGGCAGGGTGTCAGCAGGGGCCGGAAAAGGCAGGGTGTCAGCAGGGGCCGGGAGAGGCAGGGTTTGGACAAGAGACACCGTAGCAGCCATCACAATAAACAGCCGCAACACAGCAGAAGTCGTCACCAAACTCTGCCTCTTCCTCGCCCTGTTAATCCTGACTTTCTTGTTGTGTTGTTTCCTGTGGCCATTGTGGTGGTGTTGACTCATCTTTGGCTCTGGCCACAACTGCTGCTGCTGTAGAGTACTTATGGATGTGCAGCTTCTTCCTGTGTTGCTGCTGCTGTTATCAGGCACTGCTCTGTCGCCTGGTCTTGCTACAGCTGCTGTACTCATCAGACACTGATGTTGCTCTTAACAATGTTTTCACTGTAAAAGAAAAAGAGATAAAATTTTACAATTAAAATCCAATTTGTATATCAATTCAAAATGCATAACGTATTACAATGCAAAAAGTTATGCATTTTATTAAAGTCTTTATTTCTGGGATAATTTGAACCTTTCTTTGAATCAAGTTCCTCTTTGTACCATGACCATCCATAAATAGTAGTTTTGCCTCATGATCATCCCAGCCTATCTGGCGAGTACATCTTTGTGCTGTGACCATCCAAACCTGCCTGGCGAGTACATCCTTGGATCATGGCCATCCAAACCTGCCTGGCGAGTACATCTTTGGATCATGGCCATCCAAACCTGCCTGGCGAGTACATCTTTGTGCTGTGACCATCCAAACCTGCCTGGCGAGTACAACCTTGTGCCGTGACCATCCAAACCTGCCTGGCGAGTACATCCTTGTGCTGTGACCATCCAAACCTGCCTGGAGAGTACAACCTTGTGCCGTGACCATCTAAACCTGCCTGGCGAGTACAACCTTGTGCCGTGACCATCCAAACCTGCCTGGCGAGTACAACCTTGTGCCGTGACCATCCAAACCTGACTGGCGAGTACATCTTTGTGCCGTGACCATCCAAACCTGACTGGCGAGTACATGAGTACATCTTTGTGCCGTGACCATCCAAACCTGCCTGGCGAGTACAACCTTGTGTCGTGACCATCCAAACCTGACTGGCGAGTACATCTTTGTGCCGTGACCATCCAAATCTGCCTGGCGAGTACAACCTTGTGCCGTGACCATCCAAACCTGACTGGCGAGTACATGAGTACATCTTTGTGCCGTGACCATCCAAACCTGCCTGGCGCGTACAACCTTGTGTCGTGACCATCCAAACCTGCCTGGCGAGTACATCCTTGTGCCGTGACCATCCAAACCTGCCTGGCGAGTACAACCTTGTGCCGTGACCATCCAAACCTGCCTGGCGAGTACAACCTTGTGCCGTGACCATCCAAACCTGCCTGGCGAGTGCATCCTTGCATCATGGCCATCCAAACCTGCCTGGCGAGTGCATCTTTGTGCCGTGACCATCCAAACCTGACTGGCGAGTACATGAGTACATCTTTGTGCCGTGACCATCCAAACCTGCCTGGCGAGTACAACCTTGTGTCGTGACCATCCAAACCTGACTGGCGAGTACATCTTTGTGCCGTGACCATCCAAATCTGCCTGGCGAGTACAACCTTGTGCCGTGACCATCCAAACCTGACTGGCGAGTACATGAGTACATCTTTGTGCCGTGACCATCCAAACCTGCCTGGCGAGTGCATCCTTGCATCATGGCCATCCAAACCTGCCTGGCGAGTGCATCTTTATGCCGTGACCAATATGATCTTAGAGAGTATACCAACTGTTTTAGAAACCTTTTTAGTTATGTGTTATATGTGGGTGCTGAAGATGAGTCTCTTGTCTAGGTATAGGTCAAGGAACTTTCCATCATTTTTATTGCTAATGTTTACATTATCTATCTGAAGCTGAATTGCATTTGTTGATTTACTTCCAAATAAGATGTAGTAGGTCTTTTCTATGTTTAGTGTGAGTTTGTTGGTTAACATACATAAGTGGACTTTTTTTAATTCATTGTTTACAACATTATTTAATATGAGTTGGTTGGGGTCAGAGTAGATGAGAGTAGTATCATCAGCAAACAAAATAGGTTTTAGCATGTTAGAGACATTAGGCTGATCATTGATGTATATAAGAAACAGGAGGGGTCCTTGGATGCTGCCTTGTGGCACCCATACGGTTAGTGGTAGAGTAAGAGAGGTTATATCATTGACGGCTACATATTGGTGTCTGTCACTAAGATAGGATCGGATATAGTTCAGGGCAAGGCCAAGGATTCCATAATGGTGGAGTTTAAGTAAGAGGTAGTTATGGTTAACAGTATCAAAAGCCTTTCTCAGGTCAATGAAGAGTCCAATTGGAAACTCACTTTTGTCAAGGGCTGAGTAGAATAAGTCAAGCAGACTAACAATTGCATCATTGGTACTCTATTGGAAGCGGAAGCCAAACTGCCAGGGACTTAGTGTATTGAATTTTACGAGATAGGAGTAGAGCTGTTTGTAAATACTTTTTTCAAATATTTTGGATAATAAAGGAAGATTTGATATGGGTCTGTAATTATTTATGTCTACCGTGTTACCTATTTTATAAACTGGCGTTACTCTTGCTTTTTTAAGGATGTCAGGGAAGGTATGACACTCTAGAGATTTATTGAACAGCTAAGTTATGGGTGGTGCAAGGGCATGGGAGGCACTCTTGTATACCATCGTTGGTATTTCACTAATGTTCCCAGCTTTGTTTTTAGTGAGTGAATGATGGACATAACATCTGTAGTACTGATCGGTGAGAGGAGAAGAGAGTTTAGATAGCTGCCTGAAAGATATGTGGTAACATGTGTCTGGGTCTGTGGGATTTTTCGGGCAAGGTTAACACCAATCGATGAAAAGAAGCTATTAAATTCTTTTGTTATTTCAAGGTCTGTTTCAGGTGTATAACCATCCTTGGAGATTTTTATCTTGTTATGTGAATGTTGTTTAGCTCCTGGAATGCTAGAGATGGCTCTCCATGTGCGTTTCATGTTGCCTTTTGCTTCTTTGAATCTATTCTCATAAGAGGAACGCTTTGCTCTTTTTATTATACTAGTAAGCACTGACGAGTACTTCTCCAAGATGACCTAGACAGACTGAACGAATGGTCCAACAAATGGCTGTTAAAGTTCAACCCGAGTAAATGCAAAGTAATGAAACTAGGCGGTGGAAACAGGAGGCCAGACACAGGATACAGAATACGAGATGAAGTAGTTAATGAAACGGACAGAGAGAAAGATCTAGGAGTTGATATCACACCAAACCTGTCTCCTGAAGCCCACATAAAAAGAATAACGTCTGTGGCATATGCGAGGCTGGCTAACATCAGAACAGCCTTCTGGAACCTGTGTAAGGAATCATTCTGAATCTTGTATACCACATATGTAAGACCAATCCTGGAGTATGCGGCCCCAGCATGGAGCCCGTACCTTGTCAAGCACAAGACGAAGCTGGAAAAGGTTCAAAGGTATGCCACTAGACTAGTCCCAGAATTAAGAGTCATGAGTTACGAGGAAGGGCTGCAGGAAAGGCACCTCACGACACTGGAAGACAGAAGAGTAAGGGGGAGACATGATCACTACCTATAAAATCCTCAGGGGAATCGACCGGGTAGACAAGGATAAACTATTCAACACGGGTGGTACGTGAACAAGGGGGCACAGGTGGAAACTGGGTATCCACATGAGCCACTGGGACATTAGAAAGAACTTTTTCAGTGTCAGAGTAGTTAACAGATGGAATGCATTAGGCAGTTTTTTTATTTTTGTTTTTTGCAGGGATATTCCTGCGCGGGCCCAAAGCCTCTGGCAGGCCCACTAAGTGTTGCTTGTTTCTGTTTTACTTGGCCGGAGTATAAGTATTTATTACTCCTATGGTCGCTTCAATAAGATTTTGCCATATGTTTTAACAACTTCTTCTGCTCTGTTGAATCTACAAGCCTGAATTGTCGAACAAACGACAAGGAAGTGTGTGAGGGACTGAATAAAAAATTACAGGAGGTCCTTACCTTAGAGCAAGGAGAAATTCCAGAGATAAGAGAGGGAATAGTTAACCAGGAACCACTAGAAGAGTTTGAGATTACCAGCGGGGAAATAAGAAAGTTTTTACTAGAGTTGGATGTGACAAAGGCAATAGGCCCAGATGGAATCTCCCCTTGGATACTAAAGGAAGGAGCAGAAGCACTGTGCCTGCCACTCTCAATGACTTAGAGAGACTGAGTGAATGGTCCAACAAATGGCTGCTAAAGTTTAACCCAAGTAAATGCAAAGTAATGAAACTAGGCTGTGGAAACAGGAGGCAAGACACAGGATACAGAATAGAAGATGAAGTACATCAAGAAATGGACAGAGAAAGATCTAGGGGTTGATATCACACCAAACCTGTCTCCTGAAGCCCACATAAAAAGAAATACGTCTGTGGCATATGCGAGGCTGGCTAACATCAGAACAGCATTCAGGAACCTGTGTAAGGAATCATTCAGAATCTTGTACACCACATATGTAAGACCAATCCTGGAGTATGCGGCCCCAGCATGGAGCCCGTACCTTGTCAAGCACAAGAGAAAGCTGGAAAAAGTTCAGAGGTATGCCACTAGACTAGTCCCAGAACTAGGAGGCATGAGTTACGAGGAAAGGCTGCGGGGAATGCACCTTACGATCCTGGAAGACAGAATAGTAAGGGGAGACATGATCACTACCTACAAACACACACAGCCACACACACAGGGCTACTATGTAGTGAGGAAAGAGAGAGAAGGGAGAGGAGGAGGTGGTGTAGCTTTGCTACTAAGAGAAGGTTGGAGTTTCGAAGAGATGGTAATTCAGAACTGTGAAGGTTTCAGTGACTACATATCAGGCACCATAGCAACTGGAGGACAGAAAATTATAGTAGCAGTCATATATAACCCCCCACCGAATGACAGAAGACCCAGACAGGAATATGATAGAAACAACTTGGCCACCATCAATATAATAGAGAGAGCAGCTTCTGTGGCTAGCAGGAACGGATCCAGACTACTAATCATGGGAGACTTCAACCATGGGAAGATAGATTGGGGGAACAGAAACCCACATGGAGGCCCAGACACATGGGGAGATAAGCTGCTGGATGTGGCAACAAGTCAACACGTCAAGGGACCGACAAGAATGAGAGGAGGGGATGAACCAGCCTTGCTTGATCTGATATTTACCCTAAATAAGTCGGATATAAAGGAAGTTAAGTTGGAAGCCCCATTGGGAATGAGTGATCATAGTGTATTGAGCTTTGAGTACCTGGTTGAGCTGGGAATTATCACCCCCAAAAAAGAACTGGGAACCAAAGGGCTGGCGTACCGAAAGGGAAACTATGAGGAGATGAATAAATTCCTATGGGATATACATT